CTCCTAAAAACTTCACAGAAAAGAAAGGAAACTAAGGTACTTTTCCTCAGACCTCTTCTTTTCTTCTTCCCTTTTCTGTTTTTCCTTCTCTCAATAGTAGTGGAAAACAGAGGCCAGCAGGACGGGTTTGGGGTATGGTGGCCCACTTGTTTTGAGTCTAGGGGTTCCCAGGCTGAATAACGGCCCCAAAGGTAGCAGGCCTCAGTCCCTGGCCCCTGTGTTCCCTTACAGGGACCAAGTGTCTTTGCAGCTGTGATTACATTGGGGGTCTCCAAGTGGGGATCTTGCCTTGGGTTGAGCACAGGTGTCCTTCAAGAGAGAGGCAGAGGGAGGTCTCCCACGCGCAGGGGAGGGGGCAGAGCGACCCTGGAGGCCGGGGTGCGGGGCATGCAGCCGCCAGGCAATCCTGGGGGTCCGCACGTTACACCTGCCCCAGGAAACCAATAGACCGCGTGAACGTCTGTCTGCCGGCCGGCTTGAGTGGCTTCGAGGCTCGAGGAGTCTAAACAGGGGGGCGTCAAAATGCACGTCTTGGGTGAAGTGTTTGAATTTCCGGGGTGCAGGCAGTGAATGAGGAAGGGAAGTAAGACAGTAGGATGGCGCAGCCGGCACCGTTTGGAGGATGAGGAGCCAGCCGGTGGAACCCGGGGCCTCTGCCGCTGAGCCGCACCCCCACCTCCGGGTCGGCCTCACTGCCCTCCGGGGTCCCTCACCCCCCCACCCCGGGCTTGCCCTCGTCTTTGCAGCAGGCGGGAAGAAGGCGCAGCGCGTGTGACTCCCGGAGGACAGAGGGCCCCGGGGGGTACTGATCCTTTAGCAGACCAAGCTTGAAAGGGACACAAAATAGAAGACATTCGTTGGAAAAGTGACCAGCTTTTCCCTGGATAAAACACTTCTTGCTATTTGTTGTTCGCTCCACGGCGATGTTAAGGGCAAGATTCTGATGGGAAAACCCCAGGTGAGAATTCAAACCACAGGCAATTCGTTCAGCGATTCCTTACCAGAGCTCTCCGTGTTTATTACAGCCTGAAGGCAGCTGAGAACGCTGGCGGGGTCGTCCAGGATAATAATGTTCAAGGCCAGAACCAAACAGCGCATTCAGGGATGGAAAGAAGTGTGGAATTTCGAAAGTAAGTTGAGTAGGTAGCTAGACACGGGATGGAGAGGCCTACCTGGTTTCCGGAGCCAGAAAGAGGGGGAGACTCGTGAAAGAGACCCTGTGGTTCTCTCAAGCAGAAGAGAGGTTTGTTCTCAATGCTGTTCTGTGGAGGATGGAGGGGAGATGGAGAGGAAGAGAGTGGTTTGGGGCATGTCACATTTAACATGTCCATCTACAGGGTCCCCCTGGGGGAGCAACATAGTGAACTCTACCCATACCCAGACCTGAGTACTTGGGGGTGGGTGTGACCACGAGCGGCAGGTTTACATAACAGAGAGGGAAAACTGACAGTGTCCTGGAAGATCTAGAGTCAGGAACCCATTTTTTGATGGTTGCAAAAACAAAAACAAAAAAACCCAGTTCTTTCCAGACTGATCTTGGACCCTAGGATTCACGCTGGTTAGCACCATGGCCTGGAAACTTCCATGGAAGACCCCCAAAGACTCATTTCCTGGTACCAGCCTCCTAGTAGGTGTTCTTTCTTCTTCATTCATCTTATGTCTTTGCTATATTAGTAAGTACATCACTGAGTCTCTTAAAATTCAAAGGACCTCGTTGACTTGGCAGAATTTCTCTCTTGGTCGGCTCATGGGGCTGGTAGAATAGATGGGAGGAAACAGACATGGCAGGTCTCACTGGAATTGAGTGCTAGAGAAGTGGTGTCCACAGAACTCTCCAAGCTCTTGTATGTGGTTGTGTGTGTGTGTGTGTGTGTGTGTAAGTGTTGGGAGGATGAGTGGAATATTATCTAGGCTGATGGTGTGAAAACACAATTGTGAAAGTTGCCAGTGTCATCGAGTAATTATCCCCTAAGTTGCTCCTGGAGAAACCTAGATACCAGTTAGATTACTAGAAGTTCCTCACAAAAAGGTTTGGGTTTTTTTTTTTTTTCTTCTATTTACCCAAAGGTACACTGAATGCCATAATTGTTTATTAATTTTCTCTGACAACATTCAGACTCTCTGCCTACAGCATGACTGAAATATCTGTTCACAGGGAAATAGTAGGATGAGTTTCAAATATGATTCTTCTTATGAAATAACCATTTATCTCCTAAGGTAGAATTCATTCATACTCAGGAAACCTGAAGACATATGCAGTACATTTCTAATGCATCCAGGATCAGGGGGAAAAAATTATAACTGGTTGGGTGCCATTTTGAAGAAGTTGACAGACCAAAAGGAGTGGATTTTTCACGTAAGGAGCTTTTATATTGTGCTCCAGAATTTTAATCCACACTTAGGACTTTTTTCCTTGGTGTTTACAATACCTTGTTAACATGGACAGGGAAGATTAGTTATATTGTTTTAGGTCTCCCACCTTGATTGAATGTGAAGGAACTGTTTCTACACTAGGCAGTAAAGGTTTAAATAATCTTTTTTCTCCAATTAAATGTGTCTTTGAAAAAAACAAAGCACTGCCTTTTGAGTTAGAGTGACTGCATGGCCTGAGGAATCATGTCTGCTCCCACCTTACTGTGCAGCCCGTGGTCCTGCCCACTGTGTCTTCGTGCATGTTCCCAGGGGGTCCCACACATGGCCACATCTCCTTTCCTCTAAGAGTTTCTTTTTTTTTTTTAAGATTTTTTAAAAATTAATTTATTTGACAGAGAGATAGAGAGCACAAGTAGGCAGAGCGGCAGGCAAAGGGAGAGGGAGAAGCAGGCTCTCTGCTGAGCAGGGAGCCCGATGCGGGGCTCAATCCCAGGACCCTGGGATCATGATCTGAGCCGAAGGCAGCCGCCCAACTGACTGAGCCACCCAGGTGCCCCTCCTCTAAGAGTTTCTTAATCTTTAATTTCTCCCTGAGAAAGCTAAGCAAAAGATAAGCTTGTTGAAAAATAGAACACCCGAATAAAACATGGTTGAATTTCCAGAATTCATCTACAATGTACTTTAATTTTTTTTTTAAGATTTTATTTATTTGGGGGTGCCTGGGTGGCTCAGTCGTTAAGCGTCTGCCTTCGGCTCAGGTCATGATCCCAGGGTCCTGGGATTGAGCCCCGCATCGGGCTGCCTGCTCCACGGGAAGCCTGCTTCTCCCTCTCCCACTCCCCCTGCTTGTGTTCCCTCTCTCGCTGTGTCTCTCTCTGTCAAATAAATAAATAAAATCTTAAAAAAAAAAAAATCTTAAACCAACCTTTAAAAAAAAAAGATTTTATTTATTTGACAGAGAGATGCAGCAAGAGAGGGAACACAAGCAGGGGGAGTGGGAGAGAGAGAAGCAGGCTCCCCATGGAGCAGGGAGCCCGACGCAGGGGGCCCGATCCCAGGACCCCGGGATCACGACCCGAGCCGAAGGCAGACACTCTTATTCTGAGTTAAAGTTCGACACAACTTGTTCTCAAAGAAGCACCTAAGTCAGCACATGTTAGTTGCTTTATTGGCACATAATTTAAAAAAATTTCCATCTGATATTTCCTATAGCTTTCTCACACTAAGTTCTTGGCTTTTGCACCATAACTTCTTCCCCTTTAAATTGCAGAGGTGGGTTTCCATGGAGAAGTCTATGGTTGGAAGGAAGGAAAAAAATTTTCTTTCTCTTTGGGCCTGAGCCCTAATAGAATCTAGAAAAGCAACGGTGATAATTCATGACATTCTTTCTCATATTTTGTCTTTTTTCTTTTTGCAACTTGATGAATTCCCATAGTTGGAGCATGTGAATAATTTCTCCTGACATGGTGGGTATAAGTGGCAGAAAGATATTGTGAAATTGTACCTTGAAAACAAGAAAAGGGAAAGAAAATATGTCAGCAGAACAGAGAGTGAACTATTGCTCCCATTAAAGAAAGTCTGGCTCTGGAGCACTCGTTGTGAATCTTTTATGGAAAAGTAAATCTCAAAGCCAGGACATCTTAACTGGGTAAAGAATTTCCCTTGGAACTTATTTTCTCCTCTGAAAATTCCCTAATCACTTCACAGGGAAAGAGGGGTTCGACATGACCTTTGTTCAGGAACCAGGGTCTTCCCAATGGCTGCACAGTCCTTCAGCCCACACTTCCATCATGGTTGCTAACGGTTTTCAGTCTTCAAAATCTGTCCTAGGGCTACGTACGCAAAAGTGGGCTGATACCAAAGTTCCTAAAGATTTGATGAGGAAGAGGCAGTTGAGTATGGAAGTGATTACAAAATATTATCCTACTTAAAATGCCGCTGAGCAGAAACAAAGATACAAACCTCCCAGTTCCTACTGGAAGTTAGTACAGTCTTGATTGCAGAACTTGCAAATTTTTATTAAAAATAAAAAGGAACTTCACATCAGATTCAGCTATGTATGTTGATTCTAAAATATTAATAAATGCTATATTACTATAGGAGAGAAGAAGGTCAATTATTAGGACGCGGAAATGGCCCAACAATAGAAGGACATTTTTGCAATTGTTTTTCCTCCATTGGAATAGGAAATTGGAAAAAATTAAAATACAGGCATGTAAGATGCACCCTCCCGAGCCGTCCCAGTGCCCAAAGCAGTGCTTCCGAAAGGTTAATGTGCAAAGCAATGACTCAGGGGCCAGGGTCTAGTTCAAAGGTCTGGGCTGGAGCGGACACCCTGCGTTCCAAGCAGCTCGCAGGCGCCGCGCGTCCCGCGTCCAGGGACACGGTGAGAGAGGGCGCGCCCGCGCCGGCTACAACCACCTCTGTAAATCACCTGAGCCAGGGAGTGAACCGCAGCTCTCGGGGAGGAGTTCAGCCCGGCCGAACCGGAGGTCGGTCTCGGGCCTTTGGGACCTCGAGCGACGCCCCCCGGCGCGCGCGCGCCTGCAGAGGGACCGTGGCCACCGCGGCCAGGAAGCAGAGGAACCGGGACAAGGGTCTGGGAGCCCGCGTTCTTCTCTGCTTAGGCCTCGCGGTCCTCACCTTCCTCTCCCGCTCGGCGAATAACCCTGCAAACGGAGCGAGGCGACAGCCCCCGCTGTTCCCGAGCGCAAGCCGCTGCGCGCGTCTTCCCGGCCGCCTGTCCCGCTCGCCTGCCGGCCCCTCGGCGTGGCCGAGCCCCGGGGAACGCAGACGCGGCAGCAGGGGACCAGCGGCAGAGGGCGCCGCAGGACCGCGAGGAGGCCCGGGAGCAAAAGTGGAGGTGCCGGGGATTGAACCCGGGGCCTCGTGCATGCTAAGCACGCGCTCTACCACTGAGCTACACCCCCGCGGGGAGGCCGGCTGCCCCGAGTCTGTTAAAGGCGAGCGCGGGCGCTTGGGGCGGGCCGCCCGCCCCCCGCCTCCTGCCGCCCTTTCCGGAGCCCCCGATCCAGGGCCGAGCGCCTCTCGCTGAAAGAAGAGAGCCCACGCTCTGGACCCGAGGCCCGGTGTCCCGGGGGTGTCCGCGCCGGGCCGCCTCCCCGCCGCCAGCGGAGCCGGGAGCAAGCCTTCTCGGGCTCCGCGCCCTCCTTTTCCCGCGTTCCGGGCTGCCGGAAAGCCGCAGAGCACAATGTGGGGACCCCGCCCGAGCCCCAGGGCAGGGGGGCGGCCGCGGAGGGCAGGTGCACCGGGCGGGGGCCGGCGGGGGCGGCGCGCCTGCCCCCCAGCCTGCGCCGCCCCGCCCGCCGCCTGCTCAGGCCGGGACGCCCTCGCGCGCCCCCCCAGGGCTGCCCTTAGAGCCACTGAGAGGTAAGCCGGCCAAATGCCCAGCGAAGACGCTAGGAAATGAACACGGCAACCCAGGGGAACCAACTTAAACTAAAGAAGGAAGGGCTGCTAGAGACAAACGCAGAGAACAACGAGTTTTAAAGAGTGGAAAGCTAGACATTTGAGAAGTCAACAAAACAGACAAACCTCTAGCTAACCTAATTGGGAGAAAGGAAAATAAGTGCAAATACATAAAACTGAACTGACCGGAGAAAGTAACCATCTAAAGAGCTTTTAAAAAAAGGGTGAGAAACATCACAGCACAACTCAGCAAATGACTGGAAAACTTAGATGAAGTGCGTTTTGTAAATAGAGCTTATCCAGATTAATCCTTGCGGAGACAGGACTAAACAGACCATTACTTTAGAAAAATAGAGAAAATAGTTGAATAGGCATGCCCCCCAAAAGGGCACCAGGCAAAAATACTTTCGCAAGCAAATTCTACCAAACTGTTAAATATCAGAAAATCATGATGCTACTTAGATTATTCATCGAAAAAGAAGAAAAATGTCCTATTCATCACATAAAGTGAGCATAACATTTACCACAAACTTTCTCAGTTTGCACCAAAAATTAAAACTACAGGCCTATTGCACATAATACGGGATGTCCAACTGGGGTTTATTCCAGAAATGCAGAGATCACTCGTTATTAAGAAAGACATCAACAAAGATTCTCTTCTCCACCAAACTCTACTCAGGTTCCCTGGCGCTCCTTTCCAACTAGGCCTGGACTCTCGGACTTCCATTTCATCTCTGCATGCTTCCGTTTTAGCAAGAATCCCATCCTCCATATCTGGTCACCCGAGATATCTAACTGGGTTCATCATCCTCTGCCCTCCCCCAGGTGATGTATGATCACCTTGGCCCGCTTCCAGCAAGAATCCTGTTAGGTCCATTTAGCCAGGATCCACCCTTCCCCCTAATGTTTCCTCTTAGTAATATTCTATCCACCAAAGGACCCCACCCCACTCTTGGCTATAAATTGCTCCTCGCCAAATACTGTATTTGGAATTGGTCCCAGTTCTATACTGAGGCCTCTTTCCCCCTATTACAATATTCCTGAATGAAATCTATTTTTCCTGCTTTAGCTCCTATCCAGCTCTGGCTTATCTTTAACAACATTAATATAGACCATTGACCATCGTGTTGATAGAGGAAAGGAGAAAAAACATACATGATTATCTCTACAGATTCAGAAAAAGCATTTGACAAAAGACAACATATATTTAATATTGCAGTGGGCTGCATAGTGTCCTCCAAAAATTCACATCCACTTGGCTTTATTTATGGGACCTTATTTAGAGGTCCTTTTTTAGAAATATATGACCTAATTTAGAAATAGGGTCTTTATAACCTTATTTAGAATTAGGGTGACTTTATTTGTGACCTTATTTAGAAATAGGGTCTTTGTAGATGCAATTAGTTAGGAGGAGATCATATTGAAATGTGGTGAGCCCTAAATCCACTGACTGATGTCCTTATAAGACGAGGAAAACATGTAGACACAGACACACAGAGGGAAGCAGGCCACACCACGATGCAGGCAGAGACTGGAAGTGGAACAGTGCCAGAAGCCTCCGGAAACTAAGATGAGGCAAAGAAGGAATCTTCCCTAGAGACTCAGCGGGAGCATAACCCTGCTGACACCTTGATTTGGGACTTCTGGCCTAGAGCACTCTGAGAGAATAAATTCATATTGTTTTAGGCCACCCAGTTTGTGGTAATTTGTGACAGGAGCCCTAATAAACTAACACAAATATTCCAAAAGCACTCAATAAAATAAGAATTGATGGACACTTCTCAGCATGATATTTTTGTCCCACTTTTTGGGTGTCATGATCCTCATGTATTCTACAACACCCCTCCCACTCCACTTCACATTGAATCTGTGGGGTTATGAGAAACAAAATAATGATATGGTAGAGATAAGAGACATTGATATAGGGAGAACAGAACTCCAAGGGCCTGGTTTTCTGGGTCTGAGCCTCATGTCTCTGGCCCTTTTCTGAAAATCAGGAATGAGTTGGAAATAGTTTGATTGAGGAAGAGCAAATCATTGATTCTATATACTTTACTTGGTTCTATGCAGCTGTTTCAACCAAAAAATGACAAAAAAAATTCATAGATGCCAAAAGTTTTGTTGCATTACTCTTTGCTGGTAAATCAGTAAAAGGAGATTCTTTTTTTAAAAAAATAATTTTTTAAAGATTTTATTTATTTATTAGAGAGTGAGACAGAGAAAGCACAAGTAGGGGGAGGGGCAGAGGGAGAGGGAGAAGCAGACTCCTCGCTGAGCAGGGAGCCCCATGCAGGGCTCACGGGGCTCAATCCCAGGACCCTGGGATCATGACCCCAGCCGAAGGCAGCCTCTCAACCGACTGAACACCCTGAAATGAGGTTCTGATTTAAAACCCACCCAATCCTCTTTAGGCTAGTGGCCTAAAGATTAGATGAGGAACTGCTTTAATACGCTAGGTTCAGTCAGTAGAGCAGGTGACTCTTGATCTCAGGGTCATGAGTTCGAGCCCCATGTTGGGCATAGAGATTACTTTGAAAAATAATACAAACATAGTGATTCGAAGGGGCACATGCACCCCAATGTTTATAGCAGCAATGTCCACAATAGCCAAATTATGGAAAAAGCCCAGATGTCCATCAACAGAGATATATATATATATATATATATATATATAGTGGAATATTACTCAGCCATCAAAAAGAATGAAATCTTGCCATTTGCAAGGATGTGGATGGAACTAGAAGGTATGCTGAATGAAATAAGTCAATCAGAGAAAGACAAATACCATACGATTTCAGTCATATATGGAATGTAAGAAATAAAACAGATGAACATAGGGGAAAGGAAGGAAAAATAAAATAAGATGAAAACAGTGAGGCAAATCATAAGAGACTCTTAACGAACAAACTGAGGATTGCTGGAGGGGAGGGGGGTGGGGGGATGGGGTACCCGGGTGATGGGCATTAAGGAGGGCACGGGATGTGATGAGCACTGGGTGTTTTACATTCAACTGATGAATCACTGACCTATACCTTTGAAACTAATAATACAGTATATGTTAACTAAATTTAATTTAAATAAAGAATTTTAAAAATTAAAAAAAATTAAAAATCTTAAAAAAAAAAAACCCAAAACCCAAACACTAGGTTCCTCTCCCTTCATTGTCCCAGAGACCAAAGCGGTCATCCTCACTTGGAGGTGGCCGCTTGTCTTAGGTTGGTACATTCGCTCCCCGCGGCAGCTGACCTCTGGGCCGTAGCACCTGGTCCCCTTTCATGCCAGGATGGTGTATGTGGTGGTTCTCCTGAAGGAAAGCCTAGTACCCATTAAACACAGTGCAGAAGAGAGGAGGGGGGAAATAGTGAGACAGAAAAATCTTCTCCGGATTCACGAGTTTTTGTGAGCTATGAAAAGACATGGATCATATGAGCAAGAATATTTAGAAGAAGTTCTAAAATAGAATCCTGTTAGGGTCCAAGCCAGAGAGGATGTTGCTGTGCCCACTGCCAAACTTTTCGAGGCAAAATTTCTAGCGCCGTCCGGCATGAGTGTATTTACAAGGCTGTGAAGCAGATGGAGGTGACCAGAATTATCTGCTAATATGAGTATGCTAATGAGCCTCCTTGACCTCTTTATCAGACAGAGAAAGGGGGATATCTCCTGACCGCCATGTGCTGACTGAAATGCCCCCTGAACAACTGTGATGTGTCGATGGTTCATATCTTTAAAAATTCAAGGTATACTTTTGTGCTGTAACTTCTTTAAATTCAGTAAAGGAAGCTACCTACCCCTTTGCCAACATCTACTCAGGTCACAGGACTAATAGTTCTAATGTGAGCAGGAGAACCTGCTAAAAGTTTAAGGGTTAATTAACATCTACACCGAGAGTACATGTGACTTCAGACTGTGATTCTGAAATGCTGTGATATAGGAACATGGAGATTTTTTTAATTGAGATATAGTTGACACATGATATTACATTAGTTTCAGGTGGGCAAGAGATTCTCCATACATTATGCTATGCTCACCACAATGGAAACACAGAGATTTTTAACTGTCTTGGGAACCTCAGTTTAAAATTGGAGGGGCACCTGGGTGGTTCATTGTTGAGAGTCTGACTCTTGATCTCAGCTCAGGTCTTGATCTCAGGGTCATGAGTTCAAGCCCTGTGTCGGGGTCCATGCTGGGCGTGGAGCCTACTTAAAAAAATTGGAAAATGTTAATGGTTTATTAGAGGAAAATCAACATCTGAAAAAAGTTCAATTATGGATATTGAAGCCTATTTTACAGTTAGACCTTTTGAAGCTTAAGAAAATGCCCTAGACACCTACCCTCGGTGTTGTAAAAACAGTTTCTCCATATGACTTTGAGAATCCAGAAGGACATAATCAAAGACAACAATCTAGTATTACAGAGTTATTGGCCGTCTCAGAACTCTGATCCACAGCAAACGACTTTGAGGTTCCCAAGATGGCCATTTGGTGGCGCCTGCATCAATATCCGGAACGTTGAACTGCGTATTTCACGGTGAAAGTGCTCATAAGGGCAATGACAAATTCCTCCAAACTTTTCAGTTATTGTTAGGAAAAGTTTATTCAAGAAGCTCTTTGGGTGGCTGAAACTTTTCTATCTCAATTTAACATAATACCTCCCCCTCAAAACAAAATTAAAGCTCTGATAAAATGCTTAAGTTTCTCCCATTAAAACATACAACTGAGAAATATACAAAAACTGAGAAAACAGTCCAAATTAAATTTATGGTTTTTTAAATCAACATTTTCAACTTTTCAGAAGAGCTTTCTTTATCCTAAAATTCTACCTTTAATCCTGTTTA